CTTTACAATAACATTATAACCCTATGTAGACTTGTATAAGTTATTGATGGAAATACAAACTAAAATTAAGACACTTGTTTGTGTGTCGTGCCACCCAAACAACCTACTGCAGGGCACACTGTGTGTTATTAACAGGAGTGATGCTTTTTTTTTTTTCTTATTATGAGAATAGTAGAACTAGGGGACATAAATAAAAATTTTGGCAGGGTAGAAGTTACCTTCAGCTAAGACAGTTTTTATAACAAGGTGTTTAACCTTTGAAATGAGTTGTTTTCAGATCTGTTGGATGCAGTATATTTACGGGGATTACAGAGAATACCTTACAAATACTAAAGTCCTTATGGCTGGCTTTGTTGGGTCAGCTTCAATAAACCATCAAGTCCCTTGTTGTCCTTAACTATTATGATAGGTCTTGAATGTTGCTGACTGTGAGAAGGATGCTGCTGCTTTACAGAAAGATTTGGATCAGTTAGCAAGTTGGGCAAATAAGTGATGGAGGGGTTAAGATATCTGAAACTGTTTTCTCTTGAAAAAAGAAGAGATAGAGGGGTCTGATTGAGATGTTTAAGATTGTTAAGGGAATTGATAGTGTTGATGCATCATCTTTTTTCAGATTTAACAATGACAGTAGTAGGACTAGGGTACACAAATATAAATTTTGGCAAGGTAGGAGTCATCTTCATCTAAGACAGTTTCACTTTTCTAACAGAGTGGTTGGTCTTTGGAATGGGTTGTCTTCAGATGTTGTAGAGGCAGTAAATTTAAGTGAGTTTAAGAAAAAGCTTGATAAGTATATGAATGATAAGGGCTGGCTTTCAAAAATATTATTTAATTAATTAATTTTAATTTAGGTTAGAGGATGGAACAGCCGAGATGGACTAGTAGATCCCATGTTGTCCTAAAATGTTATGTTAAAATGGCAACTGACTTGGCTGTAATCAGCATGTTTCATTTTTGGAATTGTACAGCTGGATAAAGTGACTTTGAGAGAATAAATTCAAATTTATTCTCACACAAAATTATTTTACCCTTTCAGCTCAAACTTCCATGAAACCTGCAGTGTGAGACAGGTTTCTTGTTAAAACTTTATTAGGTGAAATTAATGGCATTTTTTTTTTGAAGATTGGGAAACTTGATAGACTTGCATAATGTCACTTTCTTATTTCTTAAGCAAAATTTGTTAAACATTCAGTATTGCAAACATTTATAATATTCCAATATTCAATGAAACTGAATATTAAACTGAACTGTCTTCTCATCTTTAGAATATAGCATAAAGAAATCAGAAGCTTTTATCCTGTTCATCTTCCACATAAACTTGTAAACTTCAATAAGATCACCTTTTACCCTTCTTCCCAAGAAAAGACAAGTTAGAAGACCTCAACCTGTCACTATAACTTATGAGATAACTCTTCCATCCCTGAAACCAGCTAATAATCCTTCTATGAACCTCTTTAAAATAAGTCAATATCTTTCTAAGATAACTTTTAACCGAGAGTTTTAAAGGAATTTAAATATTTTATTTGTGAACCTCTAGCTAATATTTTTTATAGGTCATTGAGTAGTGGAAGAGTATTAGAAGACTGGAAGTTGGCTAATGTTAGTCCAATATTTAAAGTAGGTGATTAACATTGTCCAGGCAATTATAGGCCAGTTAATATTACATCAGTAGTTGGAAATGTTTTGGAGAGTGTGATTAAAGATGCATTGCAGAGTCACTTAAAATAGTTTGATATAGTGTCAAAGAGCCAACATGGTTTCACTGAGAGAAAATCTTGTTTAACAAATCTGACATTCTTTGAGGATGTTACTGCAAGAGTTGATGAAGGAAATACTGTGGATTTGGTTTATCTTGATTTTCAGAAAGCATTTGATAAGGTGCCTCACAAAATGCTTGTTACAAAAATTAAATCTATGGGTGTGGGGGAAATGTTATTAAATTGGATAGAAAATTATGGAGTTACATCTGACTGGGTCACAGTTACAAGCAGTGTGCCCCTGAGCTCTGTGCTGGGTCCTCTGCTGTTCGTGATATATATTAATTAATGATATTGACTCTTGAATGATTAACAAAATTTTGATGTTTATAGATGACATTAGATTTTTGGGGTGGCTAACTGTATCAAAGATGATGCAGATTTACAGGGAGATTTAGATCATTTGATGCATTGAGACAATATGTGGCAGATGATGTTTAACTATCCTAAATGTAAGGTGATGCATGTTGGTTTTCAC